ATTTTGATAGTCGACGTAATCGTGACTAGTCGACTAATCGTGGCAGCCCTATTCAACAAGCAATCTTTTCTTCAGATAAACCAAAAGCAGCCTAATAATTTTCCATGAACTGCACAGGAAAGTCAGTAATCAGGTTTACTTAACTAACTTACCTCATCAAGCGCTTCTCCAGACTTGCGCATGTTCTGGATGTTGTAGCTTGTGATTGCCTGGCCATTATCTGATGCACACAAATCTATGATCAAGAATCCATCCTCCTCATATGCATTGATCTGATGGAAGGTTGATAGTGGCTTTGCAAGATACTTGAGGGAGCTTACCTGAAACACAAAAACAACAATGGAAATGCACTGTGGCACTGTTTACATTCATTGATTACATAATAGTTCATATTAAAATAATTTTACTTAATATTTAAATTAATCTGAGTTTTTTCACCTTTCTAATGGTTCCAAAACTTACATAGAAAAAAAATGTAACAAACCATCTTAAGTTACTAAATGTTCAAACGGAAATCGTCACTTCAAACTTTGCAACATTTATGGAAAGCAGTTATCATCTCTAATAGTCATAACGAGAGGTTTCACATCACAGGTCTTCACACAAGTTTCCAACCCACTACACCCATGATGTCACAGCTGTCACAACCAAAGAAAGCAACAGAAACACTTAACCAAAGCTGAACTACTTAACTCTAACCACAGTGAAACACAGGAAAAAACAACATAGATAACATTTTATCTAACATTCACAAGCGTAGCTACTGTAAAGGTCAATCAGGAACTAATATTACAGGCTAGAGCAGAGCACCAGGTGTCAAGTGGAAATTGGCATTCCTTTTGCAAGTTTCACTTATACTACAATGTAGGGCTGGACAACTATGGCCAATTACCTATTAATTGACCTATTATCACAATTATTATGATCAGTATTCAGATCACAGTCATTAGTTACGATTATTCATTGATTTTTAATGACAAAAACAATAAAGTTGTCTTTTTACGTCTTCACATTTCTACAAATCTTTGCATCCAAATATATCTTTATTTTTAGTATATCTCTTGAAGAAAAATTATGACACTAATCACCTTTACATTGTGCTACATTCCTGCAAATTATTCTTTATGAATGAACCTTTACGGAAAAATATGTGTTTATTCACTTGGCCTTAGTGCGTCTCCTAAAAGCTAAGTATAAAGTCTTTCACTAAATTCCTCAGCTGTGACATTTTCCCTGCGATGTGTTGCAGTTTTTTCACTTTAGAAAAATATATGTTGTAGGTAGGGGATTACATTATTCGTCCAGTGTGTTGTTTGGTGTTTTCAGTACGTCTTTGTGAGCTGGATGGATCTGCTTACATGATTTTGGAAGATTGACACTAGCAACCACTGCATTGTCTTTCTTGGGGTTAATGCATTAATTGCACCATCCCATTGCACTCACACCCATCACGAAGAAGTGCTTCGAGAGGCTCGTCATGAGGCACATTAAGAGCCGGCTGCTACCCACACTGGACCCACAGCAGTTCCCCTATCGCCCCAACTGGTCAACAGATGACGCCATCGCCACCACCCTACGTCTTGCCCTCACCCACCTGGACAATAAAGACATGTATGTACGAATGCTGTTCATAGATTTCAGTTTAGCATTTAACACACTCAATCCTCAGCAACTGATTGTTAAACTGAGCCTGCTGGGCCAGAACACCTTCCTCCGTGGCTGGATCCTGGACTTTCTGACGGAGAGACCTCAGACAGTCCGGATCGGTAACAGCACTTCTAACACAACCACACTGAGCACTGGAGTCCCTCAGGGCTGTGTGCTCAGCCCACTGCTGTTCACTCTGCTGACTTATGACTGTGCAGCGATGCACAGTTTGAACCACATCATCAAATTCACTGATGACATGACTATGGTGGGTTTCATGCGCAAGAACGACGAGTCAATGTACAGAGAGGTGGTACAAAAACTAACAGACTGGTGTAGAGTCAACAACTTGTCTCTGAACGTGGACAAAACAAAGGATATGATTGTTGACTTCAGGAGATCACTGTCCACTTAACATCAATGGATCCTCTGTGGAGGTCATCAAGAGCACCAAATTCCTTGGTGTCCACCTGGCAGAGAGCCTCTCTTGGTCCCTCAACACCAGCTCCATAACTAAGAAGGCCCAACATCCTCTCTACTTCCTGCGGAAGTTGAGAAAAGCCCATCTCCCACCAGCCATTCTCACCACCTTCTACAGGAGGACTATTGGGAGCATCCTGAGGAGCTGCATCACTGTCTGGTATGGTAACTGCACCCTATGGATCACAGTACCTTACAACGGATAGTGAGAACAGCTAAGAAGATCATCGAAGCCTCCTCTTCCCTCCATCACAGACACTTGTTGCACCCACCAGCATTCTGGATTACCCCACACAACCCTCTCACACACTCTTCATCTTCACCTCTGGCAAGAGGTACCGGAGCATTTTGGTAACAGAGCATAACAGAGCATAAAACACAGAAAAACACGAAGGAGATTTTTCTGGCCTGCGTTTTTATAGCAGATAACCACCTTAAAAATATTCTGCAGTAGAACGAAAACAGAAGAAAACCATGAATCAACATATAAACATTAGCTGATGCTGCTGAAGTGAAGCAGAGCAAAGTTACAGAGTTTTTTATTAGAGACACAGCCAAGTGTTTTGCAGTTTTCCATAATTTAAAAAAGTTTACATTTCTTCAGTATCGAACAGCAGAAATTAGACTTTGTTCTCGGAAGTCAGTTAAATTAAAAACAAAAACAAACACACAGCGGCCGACAGTGCTGTACATAACGGTAGACTGGTGTATGATAAAGCAAGCAAATAATGCAGAAAACAGATTTTTAGATGGGAAACTGTTCTCGAAGTACAGAGAGAGAGACAGAGAGCTCTGCAGGAAGTGATTTTACTGTGGTGGAAGCAAAACAGCAAAAGTCAGAGAGAATTCATGACGATGTTTATGTGAAGCGAAATGTGAGGCTTAGTTTGGATCTTCTTTTGCTACTGGTTCAGTCAAATTTGTTTGGAGAGAGACAAAGCCTACAGCTTCAAGCAGAATCGAGAGCTGTCGGCTTTCTCACCCGAGTGCACGTACACGGACACGCCGTCAGGGCTGAAAACCGACAGCTCACTGAATCTGATTGTGTTTACGTCTTTGTGCAGAATCTGTGTACCTGCTCTCATTTACTGTTTAAGCTGTTTGGTGGTTGTCGAAATTTTGTAAGGTTCAACCTGAGATTCTGGCATTTCGGGTAAAATAAATTTATATTTAAAAATTGATTTAGGATTTTAATGAATCGATATCACATTATTAACCTCCTAGGACCTGGCGTCCACCTATGTGGACATCGCATTTTGGTTGTCTAGACCAAAATACTAAATTTTGCTCTACAAGGGCCTGATATCCACTTAC